GGCTGGGGATTCGAACCCGCCACCTTAGGTGTACGTGGCTGGCGCCTTAGCCGGTTGAGCTATAGGCGCCGAGCCTAAAGGTCAATTTCAATACCAAAAATGTTTGGCAAATCAAATTCAGCAATGAATTTTAACATATCACACACACACAAACACACAAACACCCCACATTATTTCACATCACATGACATGCCCCAAAAGGCAGACATTTCAAAATATTTAACAAACAACAGGACATGGTTGCTTGTTAAATTGGAACAGATGCTGGGCTGGAGAGGGGCATGGAGACCCACTACTGTGTGAGGCCTTAGCCCTTTGGTTCTAGATCATGGAGAGATCGCAGGAGTCCCAGGGAAGAGGCTAGACAGGTATACTCTGGGAACTTAGGGTAGCAACTATTTACTAATTCATAAATATTTTAGTATCTGAGTAACTATTATAGCATATGGTGCATATTTGAATTACAGCCTGGCAAGTAGTGAGGCAGGAAGGGTTAACATTTAAATAAATAAATATTGGGAGGCTGAGACAAGAGAATTGCTTAAGCCCAAGAGTTGGAGGTTGCTATGAGCTGTCACCCCTCTACTGAGGGCAACATAATGAGACTCTGTCTCAAAAAAAAATTTTTTTTAAATGAATAAATGTTGGTGCTTTTTCTTTAAAAGAGCCATTTTTTAAAAACATCGAGACTTACTTTGTCACCCTCTGTAGAGTGCTGTAGTGTCATAGCTGACAGCAACCTCACACTCCTAGGCTCAAGCAATTCTTTTGCCTCAGCCTCCAAAGTAGCTGGGACTACAGGCACCTCCCAGAATCCCACTATATTTTGTTTAGCAGGCCCGGGCCACGTTCAAACTCACCAGCCCTGATGCATGTAGTACGCACCCTAACCACTAAGCTCTGGATGCCCACCTGAAAGAGCCATTGTTTAGAGCTACATATTTAATTATTTTTGATAAAATGATGTGATGAATGGGCCAGGTATGGTGGTGCATGCCTACAGTCCCAGCTACTTAGGAGGCTGAGACAGGAGGATTGCTTGAGCCCAGGAGTTAAGTCAAGTCTGAACAGCATAGTGAGACTCCTATCTCTAATAATAATGATAATATTGTGAGAGGAGAGGGACATAGGTAAAGATACATAAAAATACACATGAAACTATGAGTTGATCATTGTTGCAGCTGGGTGATGGGTGGGTACCTGGGAGTTCATTATACCATTCTGACCTCTTCATATACATTTGAAATTTTCTTTTTCATTCATTCTTTCTTTCTTTCTTTTTTTTGAGACAGAGTTTCCCTGGGTAGAGTGGCACAGCTCACAGCAAGCTCAAACTCTTGGGCTTAAGCGATTCTCTTGCCTCAGCTTCCCAAGTAGCTGGGACTACAGGTGCCTGCCACAACGCCTAGCTATTTTTATTGTTGTTGTTGTTGCAGTTGATATTGTTGTTTTAGCTGGCCCAGGCTGGGTTGGAACCTGCCAGCCTTGGTGTATGTGGCCAGTGCCCTGAGCTGTGGGTGCTGCCCCCCTTTTTTCTTTTCCTTTCTTTCTCTCTCTCTTTTTTTTTTTTGAGACAGTCTCACTTTTTTGCCCCCAGTAGAGTGCTGTGACGTCAGAGCTCACAGCAACCTCAAACTCTTGGGGTCAAGTTATTCTCTTGCCTCAGCCTCCCAAGTAGCTTGGACTATAGGCACCTGTCACAACACCTGACTATTTTTTAGAGACAGCGTATCACCCTTCCTCAGGCTGGTCTCCAATTCATGAGCTCAAGCGATCCACCTTCCTAGGCCTCCTAGAGTGCTAGGGTTACAGGCATGAGTCACCATGCCCAGCTTGTTTGAAATTTTCTATAATATGGCTCGGTGCCTATAGCACAGTGGTTACAGCACCAGACACATATATCAAGGGTGGCTGGCTAGAACCCGGTCTGGGCCAGCTAAACAACGGGAGGCTGAGGCAAGAGAATCACTTGAGCCCAAGAGTTTGAGGTTGCTGTAAGCTGTGACATCATGGCACTCTACAGAGGGGGACATAGTGAGACTCTGTCTCAAGAAAAAAAAGAAATTTCCTATAATAAAACTTTTAAATCAGTGGTTCTCAACCTTCCTAATGCTGTGACCCTTTAATACAATTCCTCATGTTGTGATGACCCCCAACCATAAAATTATTTTCGTTGCTACTTCATAACTGTAATTTTGCTAGTTATGAATCGTAATATAAATATCTGATATGCAGGATGTATTTAGATGACCCCCTGTGAAAGGGTCGTTCGATCCCCGAAGGGGCTGAGATCCACAGGTTGAGAACCGCTGATTCAAATTATATGACTGGGAAGATCTGGTGTCATACTGTGTATAACAGCCTTTACACACACACACACACACACACACACACAGAAGTGATCTTATATCTCATCACCTTAACAGATTTTTTTTTTTTTTTTTTTTTTTTGAGACGGAGCCTCAAGCTATCCCCCTGGGTAGAGTGCCATGGCATCACGCTCACAGCAACCTCCAACTCCTGGGCTCAAGCGAGTCTCCTGCCTCCGCCTCCCAAGTAGCTGGGACCACAGGCGCCCGCCACAACGCCCGGCTATTTTTTGGTTGCAGCCGTCATTGTTGTTTGGCGGGTCCGGGCTGGGGATTCGAACCCGCCACCTCAGGTGTACGTGGCTGGCACCTTAGCCGGTTGAGCCACAGGCGCCGAGCCTACAGATTTTTTTTTTAGAGACAGTCTCATTTTGTCACCCTCAGTAGTGTGCTATAGCATTACAGCTCACAGCAACCTCCAAGTCTTAAGCTTAGACAATTCTCTTGCCTCAGCCTCCTGAGTAGCTGGGACAACAGACACCCACCACAACACCCGCTATTTTTTTTTTGTTATTGGCGGTTTGGCCAGGGCCAGGTCCTAAGCCACTGCCCTTGGTATATGGGGCCAGTGCCCTACTCTCACTGAGCCACAGGCACCTCCACCTTAGCAGATTTTTTAAAAACCCATAAGATTGGGCAGTGCCTGTGGCTCAGTGGGTAGGGAGCTGGCTCCATACATCAAGGGTGGCTGGTTCAAACCCAGCCCAGGCCAAAGTGCAACAAAAAAATAGCCGAGTGTTGTGGAAGGTGCCTGTGGTCCCAGCTACTCAGGAGGCTGAGGCAAGAGAATCACCAAAGCCCAGGAGTTGGAGGTTTCTGTGAGCTATGTGATGCCATGTCACTCTACCGAGGGTGATGGGGTAGGACTCTGTCTCTACAAAAAAATAAAACAAACAAAAAAAACCCATAAGAGGCTCGGCATCTGTGGCTCAAGTGGCTAAGGTACCAGCCACATACACCTAAGGTGGCGGGTTTAAATCCAGCCCGGGCCCACCAAACAATGACAGTTCAACCAAAAAATAGCCGGGTGTTGTGGCAGGCACCTGTGGTCCCAGCTACTTGGGAGGCTGAGACAGGACACTTGCTTGAGCCCTGGAGTTGGAGGTTGCTGTGAGCTGTGATGTCACAGCACTCCACCCAGAGGGATAGCTTGAAGCTCTGTCTCAAAAAAAAACCCAACAAAACCCTTCAGATTGGGGTAGCACCCCTTGCTTAGTGAGTAGGGAGCTGGCCACATACACCAAGGCTGGCGGGTTCCAACCCAGCCTGGGCCAGCTAATACAACAATGACAACTGCAACAAAAAAATAGCCAGGCATTGAGGCGGGCGCCTGTAGTCCCTGTTGCTTACAAGAGAATCGCTTAAGCCTAAGAGTTTGAGGTTGCTGTGAGCTCTGAGGCCACAGCACTCTACCAAGGGCAACATACTGAGACTCTGTTTTACAAAAAATAAATAAAATGGGGCTCGGAGCCTGTGGCTCAAGCGGCTAAGGCGCCAGTCACAGACACCCAAGGTGGCGGGTTTGAATCCCCAGCCCAGGCCCGCCAAACAACGATGGCTGCAACCAAAAAATGGCCAGGCGT